CTGTACTACCTACCAGCAGCCCGCTCTCCAAAAAATAATTCCGTTTTTTGGGGGTCCTCCCCATTCATATGTGTGATTACGAATATTGGATCATCCTGTATACCATTTGACAGCCTATCTTTTTCATATAACATAATTCATCTTTAAAAGAAACTACTATATAGATTATAAGGAATTTCAATGTAAATTCCTTAAAAGTTTTTCAATTTACATGCACACAAAAAATGTTCATGTGTGCCAGCTTCCATATGCCCTTACCAGCACTAAGTCCGGGTCTCTGGTTCAAACCAATAAATGGTGATCAGAAAATTACTTCTAGCACAAGAGAAGCAAGGAAGAAGAAAAAAATGAAGAAGGAATATAGTAATAAGGAAACAGAAAAGCCAAGGAATGAAAGAGTGGGAGGAAAAGTTTAAAAAAGGGACAAGTGACTGGAAATAAACAAAGTAATGAAGACATGGGAAACAGGTTAAATATAAAACAGTTAGGTGTCTTTCAGGAATATATCCTTGTTAATCAGGTCATGAATCCCAGCCAAGTGTACCAAAGGCACAATTTCATTAAGAGCTGATAAAAAGGAGGGTTTGAGTCAATTCAATTAATGATCAGAGACCAGATATCTTAACCTAAGTTTCCTTTAGATCTTTCATTTAGAGTTTGAAATTTTCCTCCTCAATTTTTAGTCAGTTTTCCCCAAAGCTGAATGTTATCTGAAGAAAATTCCCAAAAGCGCACTCAGAGATTTTAGAGCAGAACAAAGCACATGTTTCACACTTTTAAAGAAAATGTTCAGTCTCTGGATGCAGCTGAATAACTTTAAAATGACTTCATTTTAAAACCTAGTAGATCAGAAAGAAGTATCCAAAGGAAATGTATATTTTATACTATTTGTTTTACGATAGTTTAAAATTAAATGAGCAGTACAGGATCTCGAGCTGGTCTACTATTATCTGGAAGTATAACATGAGGTAGAGAAAAGAGTTCAATTTTCCTGAAAGGGCAGGATTTTCATTCTACTTCTATGCTCTTGGCTGCCTTATAGCTCTTTTTGCTTTTTTTCTGAGTTTGTATCTAACTTCTAGAAGTTACTGCGAGGGACGGGAAAGAAAGCTAGTCTGGAAGGGCAGGGAATCAGGCCTTGGATGATCTTAGCCATAGGCCTTAATCTCCCCATTCTTGTTCCTTCATCATTATGTTGCCTACCAGCAAGCCTGATCTGTCCCGTTCACAAGGAGGTCAGTTGGTAGATTCAAATGAACCACGATTTTAGCAAGTTTTGAACAGGTATAAATGGCTCAGGCATAAAGGTGTACTCTCTTCCCCTACTTTATTAACAGCAATTCCAAACATCAGGTTTGAGCATAAATGTTAATGGGAACCAATGTAGGAGAACCCATCTTGATCAAAGAAGGACCTGGGGTAGGAAGAGCTTTCTTGATATTTTGATAAAATAAGATAATTCCTCATGACCATTTCAAGAGGATTAATAAGTTAGAAGCTCACATTCGAAAAGGAAATGGAGGAGAAAAAGGTCCCAGTTTTTGAGATTCTATAGGGAACCGAGTCTGGAAGATAGTCACTGAGACAATGCCTGAGAAGGCGTCTTTGTGTTAGTGCTCAGATATTCATGAGACAAAAAAACACAAGAACAAAGACTAAAAGGCCGTTATTGGACACATACTGATAAACTGAAAAATGTTTGTGGATGCCTTATTGTGAGCTCTAGGCTTTCAGGGCACTGAAATAACGTAATCATGAAAAGACAGCAGAATAGCAGGCTCCATGCTGAAGTGTTATCACAAGAAAATGAAGACAGTAAAGAGAATACACAAATCTACACAGCTCTACTACCCTGGGTATTCTAGCCACTATTTGATAACACATTTCCTTCTCTGAAGGAAAAAAAGAAATTCATTCCCCAAATGACAGAAAGGCTGAGAATCTCGACAAAAGCAGACCTCCATAAAACTGTGAAGATGAATACATAAAGTTGAAGAAGTATTAAAAGCAAAAGGAATAACCTAACATGCTTCCCTTAGCTGCTTTTGTCTGTGGTCTGCAGTGCATTATCCACAGTTCCCTAGGATAGAAAGAAGGGCTGTCAGAATCCATTCCTAGGTTTTTCTCACAAATATATACCAAGGGAGGGAGGCACAACAAAGTCTGCTTTGGATTAAAGTTATGAACATCAGATTTCAAAATCAAGAACAAAATGTTTCAGGAGTTTATTTCAGTTTTGTCTCACCCCAAACAGAAAAACTGGAGAAACCAGAATTCTGAATTTCCTTAATGATTTAAGGGGTTGGAGAGGCAATGACATTTTCATGTATCAGTAGAACTGAAAAATAAAAGGATAATGCAACTACATCCCAATGTTAAAAAATATTCTTGACAGTGTTTCCTAATTACCAAGAATAATAGCTATGGCTAACATGAATTAATGAGCAGCATTTTCTTTTTAACCAATACTGTTATCAGGTTTGATTTGAGGTCTGAGAACAGAACACCATAAAATCTGACTTTTATTTAACAGAATTATAACCTAGATTTCCAAAATATTCAGAAGTGATTAGGCAGTCCTAAAGAAAAAATGATAGCTTTATTATTTTAATCTGTATATTAAAAAGTAGCATAGTACGTCAACATAGGAATAAAAGGAAATGGGACAATATTTTCAGACATCCTTAGTACCTATATACTGAACGTCAAGTTACTGTGGTAACTTTAACAGACATCTGATAATCAAAACAATACCAAGTCAACCATAAAGTGAAATAAATTATCTATAATGTCCAGATAATCGAGTAACTGGAATTTATGTGCTAGAATTAGCGGATGAGTTGCCAAAGGAATCCACTTTCTTTTCTGTTTTGATGATATTAAAGTGGTAAACTGACTAGTATCAAATCATGATATATATTTATTTATATATGCAATGCATTTATCTTATATAAAATGTGTATTAATAAACACATCTTCTTCCAGCTATAGCATAAACATAAACAAAATCACATAAGTTTCTTATGTCTTTTGTGTAATTGATAAATGTAAATTTTATTTTACTGGATGGCAAAATAAAGAAATGATGACCTACATAACAAAGGCTTTACTTCCTCTACATGCCTGATTCTGATCAAAAGCGTATTCTCCTTTACAAGGTCATTTAGGACAAAGTTGATCCCCCCCATTTTTGTATCTCTTTAAATATCCTGGTACTAGGCACATAGTAGGCAAGCCCTTAAAATATTTTTTGTCTTGATTCAACATTAAAAGACATCAGAAATGTTGTAACAGATCTGCTTCCAAAATATTCTACATCCAAGGATTATAGAACAACAAATGAGCACAGATACAGATAAAGATCTGTATAGAGATAGCATAGCTAAAATTCTGATAGTAACTGCCTAACTTATATTTTGATAACTGTCATATATTTTAGCATGCTTTTAGGCATTTTGCTTTATAGCTATAGGGGGCAACTGGCTAATAAACAAGTTTCATTCTTTTTTTTTTTTGAGTTGGAGCCTCACTTCTTCGCCCAGGCTGGGGTGCAACGGCATACACACTCACGGCCACCCAGCGTTGACCTGCTGGGCTCCGGCGATCCTTCCACCTCAGTCTTCCAAGTAGCCAGAACTACTGGTACACGCTACCACGCCCGGCTCATTTTTTATTTATTGTAGAGACAAGATCTCGCACCAAGTTGCCCAGGCTGGTCTCAAACCCGTAGGCTCAGGCAATCCACTCGCCTCAGCCTCCCAAAGTGCTGGGATTACAGGATGAGCCACCGAGCCCGGCTAACAAGCCTCATTCTTAAACAGAAGTTCTTTGGTTGTCTCAAAAGCGCATATACTTGCACCTAGGAACGATTCTGAAATGCATGAATAGGTGATTCTCAGCTCTCTATGAGATACTGGTTCATGGAAACTTTACCAATGCTATACCCAAAAGTAGTGCTGCAGAGAACTGAACATGTATTTTAATCAAAATATTAATACCTGCAGAAAAATAAAATATTTAAAAGAGCCAAGAAGCCAGGAATTCTTGTGTACCTAAAATATGTATAGTATTAAAAGCATATTTTAATATACCAGATCTTATTTGAGTCAGTGTCTGAAATTTATTTCATTCTCTTTATTTTTCAGCCTATTAGAATATTCAATACTTATCATTAGCATATCAATCTGCAATCTCTGCCTCTAACAGGATATCAATGCCATCTTCCCTACTCCCCCAACACACATACACTGAACTCCAGCTCAGAGGCACCATTTCCTACACTCCTTAATTATCTTCCATAGTCAACTGTGACTCATCAGAAAGCCTTTCCACCCTCAAAATCCACATTTTCACCTGTTAAGTTTCTCTGTAATGGAAGAGATCACAATACTGAATTAGTTCTCCAGACACGCATATTAAGGACACTACTTCAATTGTTTGCTGCTTAGTAAAGAAAAAATTATACAATAGCCTACAGAATTCTGTAAGAGCTGAGAAGCCACATTACCAAGACACTTCATGGCTTCACTATGAACTGATTTAGAGTCCAACTGTGAAGTCATTCACCTTGGCCAAGAGAGATTTTGAGTACTCTTTGGGACTCACCTATCTCACAAACAATGATTTAAACAAAATGAAAACAAAACAAAACAGGGTGACTCATTCCAACACTCCGGATTCTATCCTATAGATAGAAGGCTATGAAATGATCTGATGATTAGCCTTGGAATTTCCATGCCCTTTTCATTTTTAGAACCTCTGCATGGTGTTAAAAGTATCAAATAGGACCTAATTAGATCTGAACACAAAGACCTGCTCATACATTTGACAGAAGAGTTTACCACTCTGAGTGTACTATGCGGTTCCACAGGGTTATTTGTGGTTATTTTTAAAATCCTAAATTCAAGAAATGTTCACTCCATTCCCCATGCCCTACTTCCTATCATTTATTTATATCAGATAATAAATGATAATACATTGTCTACCAAAAGAGCACTTACCTCATTGTCTGATTCCACAAGAACTTGATCATATTCACTAAGCGCTACTAGAAACATGATAGAGGTGACATTTTCAAAGCAGTGTATCCATTTTCTTCTCTCTGACCTTTGGCCCCCTACATCCACCATTCTGCAAGATTAACAATACTCATATCAGTAACATGCAAAGAGAAACTTTAAAAATCAGTATAAATATAGCACTACTTATAATCATAGGAAAAATATTCTCTTGAAAGACAATGGTCATCCAAGTCAATTCAATTAATACTTATGAATATCTACTAATTTTGTTACCTAATATTCAAAGTCAAGACATTCTGTCTAAAAAATCATTGTTATTAGACTGTTATCAGATGTGTAGGAAAAATAAAACTTTGTTACACAATAATCCTTATCTTAGCAAAGGATTATTTTATTTCATGAAGGACTGAAGAGTCAGAAATAGAATGAGTTTTGTGTTAAGCCCTACTGGCAAATAATAAACTTCAGTTTCTTTTTCTATAAAATCATAGCAAAGATCCTCATGTAATTCTTGAGAATGCTAGAAATTACTGAAAACATTTTCTAGAATGCTAGAAATTATACATAAAATATGTGAGATGCTATACATTCCAATATGGGAGGTATGATGCTTCCGCTGAATGCAAACACAACCCCCACTGATCCCTCATCAGTAGGTTACAGATTTGGGCTATTTTTTTCTCTCAATATTGGTAATAATTTAGGCTATTATATTTGTAATCATTTTAACTATATATATTTAGGACCAATGGTTGACTAATTGATTTTGCTCAACCACCCTCAGACTAAAATTGTATTGATTTCTTGGTGATTTAAATTAAAATAAGAAACCCTCCAGTGTATCTTTCTGCTGCTTCCTCCCTCAGGGATACATTATTTTATTTGTGTAATTAATGATAATAATTGGTATAAAGGCTATATTGTATACACGATTTCAATAATTATTCCATCGTGTGAATAATAATCTATACATTTACATAAAATCCTTGTTCCATGAAATCCTGTCACACCAAGTCCTACAAGATGCATTTCATAAATATGCTTCTAAGTCATTATTTTTATTGTAGTGGCAAAAACCATTTCTAGAGTTTACCAAATATACTTAAGGCGTAAAAGTTGGGAAGTAGATTTTATGAACTCAGTTACTACCTGAAAATGACACTCTGTAAGTCAAAGGGGTATTCAATGATCCCTGTAGTAGGGACTCGAACTCTAAGCACATCTTGCTGCGTAGGCAGGTAGGCAGGGTCGGCTACGCGATCCAAGTCATTAAGATAGCTGGAGGAGCAAAGACACAACGAGAAGATCAGTGACAACAATGCATTAAATCTGTCTATGAAAAGGGAAGGGCAAAAAATGAGTTCTAAGGAGGAAGTGAAGAAGAGAAAGATAAATATCAGAAAGTAGTAGAGAAGTTTGGGGAAAATAAAAATAAAGTCAATCTTTCATTACTCGGGAAAGTAATTCATCCACGGATTACCCTACAGCAAACTTTTCACTTCTTCTCTTATTATCAGTTAGAACCCATACCCCCAAAGGTAATGTAGTAAAAGGAAAATAAACTTAAATTAATCTTCTAGCCCCTACTTGTTTAGCAGGTCTGGTTGGTAAAGCAGTTTAAAACAAATACTTTTAAGATAACGGAGTTGTACATGAGGTCAGAGCCCTCCCACCTCCTGAACATCAGTCGTTACTTGAAATGAATTTCCTTATTCCTCAAACTGGTAAGATAGTAGGATACCATGTGCTAAATTCTGTCCAGTGCCTAAGTCATTCATGATTAAGGTAAAGTCACTAAATTTCTGGTTATTGCAGTAATAATATCTAAGGTCAGATATGTCCAATGTTTAGAGTCACCACACTAAAAAAATTTAACCTGGTTATATGACATCTTTGCATTCCCTTAAAAAATCTTTTTATTTTTAAATAATTTTAGACTCACAAGAAGTGGCAAAAGTATTTCAGAGCATTCCCTGTACCCTTCACCTAGCTTCCCCCAATGAAAGCATTTTATACAGTACATTAGCAAAACCAAGAAAGACATTAATACAATATTATTTATTAACTAAACTCAAGCTTCATTTGGGTTTCACTAATTGTCACATGCACCCATATGCTGTGCGTGTGTATGTATGTATGTATGTATATATATATATATATATGTATGTATGTATATGTATACAGTAATCTCTCAGTATCTGTAGGAGATATGTATACAGTCATCCCTCAGTATCTGTAGGAGATTGTTTCCAATTTCTCCCCAAACCACGAATATCAATATTCATGGATGCTCAAATCCTCAATATAAAACGGCACAGTATTTGCATATAATCTATACACACCTATTTATATACTTTAAATCACCTCTAGATTACTTATAACACCTAAAAAAATGTAAATGCTATATAAATAAATATACTGTAGTATTTAGGAAATAATGACAAGAAGAAAAGGCTGTAAATGTTTAGTACAGACACATTTTTTTTCCTGAATATTTTTGATCTGTGGTTGGTTGAATTCATGAATATGGAATTCATAGACACAGAGCTAATTGTATTGCAGGAACTATTTAGTTCTATGAAATCTTACCATATGTAGAGATTCATGTATCATTATACCAAAATCAGGGTACAGAACTGTTCTATCACCAGAGAAACTGCCTGTATCACCCTGACAGTTATGCATATATTCACCAGTGTAATTTTGCCATTGCAAAAATATTTTATTCCATTTATGCTTTATTCCCTCAAAGTGCAAAAAATAATTTGGAATGCTGAAAATGACATGATTTCATAGAATTTACAACAACCAAATGAAAATGACTGTTCTGAGCAGCATCTTTATAATCTCAGAGGGAACTATGCTCTCCTTCGCCCTGGAGAGGATGGAGCAAAGACGTGGTTTCAAAACACACAACTATTAAGTATATGCACAAAATAACTAACAAGTGAACAGGAGTCCAGAAAAAGTGGAACCATTAAAAGAACTGAAAGGAGTTAGGTCTTCAACTCCTTTATGCTCACAAACAAGAGACAGTGAGTTCTGAGATACATTAAGAAAAGGTATCATGCACAGCATGTTTTAACTCAACAATAAGACAAATACTCAGCTGACATGACCTGCCTAGGGTAAAGATTGTCTCAGTCATCTTTATTTCTGCTTTAGTACTTTAAAGAGAGCCAGGCAAATGTACTTAGCTAATATTTGGTGGATGAATGGATGGATTGACTATGCTGAGATTTCGTTTTAGCATTATTTAAACAGCATTCTTATTAGTGGTGTTTCTTATATATATATATGTGATGTGATGAGCTGATTTCTCTGTAAAATGAATACAGATCAACTCACAGAACATGGATTTGTTAACTACTTACTAGTGATGTTACTAGCGGTGTTAATCATATCGTTACATTTGAATCTGAGTATTAAAAAGAGTCAGTCTATAAGCTTCATAGAATCATAAAATAATAGGGCTAAGTTTGACTCTAACAAAGAAATAAAATTAATGCCATTTCGGAGGTATGTATCAATTCTTTAAGACAAAAACAGCACAGAAATTCCTACTGCAAGCAACTAATTTGTATTCTAAGGGCCTAATCCTGGACACGTTAATGATTTTCTAGGTGGCAGTTAGCTCTTTATAGACTAACAGAAATTAGCCTGATATCTTTAATTATTATAAAATTAGGTGGAGGACAAAGAAAGGGAGGCTGGGAGAATACTGGTGTGAGAAGCAGAAAGGAAAAGCAAAAATGAACTGGACTGAAAATTTTAGTAAGAACCTTAGCATGGTCAACAGTCCTCTGGTAGAGTTGATCTGTATTCATTCTACAGAGAACCCAGCTCATCACATCATATATGTAAAATCAACTGGCCACTCTGTATAGATGGAGTTTTCTAATTTATCAGCTCTGATTTGAAAAACTTGAAACAAAAGTACATTTTGAAAACCATAAAATTACCATTCATTTAACTACTGTATACAATAACTTATGTCAGAGGAATCAAAGAACTTTAAATTTACACTGGCAAGGTTGCTCAGAAATATGTTGCCCAATAAGCCATTTCTATTTATTTAATGCCACACACAGAAGTCAGAAGAGTTGCTAATTCTTACATATATATATATATGGTGCTGTGGTGTTCCTGTGGTAAAGGTAACTTGTGGCTTTCTGTTTACTGAAGCTGAACTAACAGATTACTAGTTGCCACTCCATTGTAAAACAGATAAGTGGTTTGAACAGAAGAATTTAAAGAACCACCACACAAAGTGGGAAATTACCTATCACACTGCTCAGTAGGAACTTAGTTTATCTCCATTTTAGAAGGATAAACCAAGCTCCCTGAAAAACATGTTTGAGTAAGATGGAATTGGGGTATATACCTGCAATGAAAAACCATTTACCAGGGCTCAGAGGCTACCCTAAAAAATTGTCAGTGATATCTCTCCATGAATCCAGGGTACTAAAACACTGATACTTGCTAGGACACTTTTTCTTCTTCCTCTTTCATCTGCTCTTTTTCAAAGGCAGCATAGTTCATAAAGAACAAGAACAACCACCTAACAACAACTAACACACTGAACACTTGCTGCTTGCCAGGCTCTGTTGTATCTGTTCATTTTCCAGGTATCAATACATTTCATGGTAAAGAAATGACCATTAAAAATATTCTGTCTCTTGCTTGATATTCTTTTTGCTTTGCTTCCATTGGAGGGTGGAGAGAAAGACTTACTTCATTTGGGCTAAAAGTTAAATTAATCTAGTTGAACAAAAGAAAAGGCTGAAAAGATCAGTATCTAGTTTTACTAGTTGCAGCATCAATAACCACAGCCAACCAACCAAACAAAACCCAAATTAAAACAAAGAAAATCAAAAACGACAACTCCCAACCAAACAAAAGACATACAAACAATTTTGTCCCAGAGGGAAATCTGAGCAGCTCAGAAGCTTCACAGGACTGAAGACATGCTGCAGACAATTTGTGAAGCAGGTAAAATGTGTAGATAACCGACTACATCTTTTCACTGTCAAGGAGGTGCCAGTGTGGAGAGCTGCTGTCTGCAAAACTCCCAGTTCCATGCGCTCCCCCACTCACTCTGGCCTCCCAGGACTCAGAGGAGGGACTCACAACCCTGTGTCTGCATTGTACATTTGCTGGAGGAAAAAAACCATTCTATTTCTTCAGAAATGAAGTTGTAGCACAGTAAGACGAGTGTATCCTCAGCTGTTGACCCCTGTCACATTTTGAGAAAAGGTGAAAGAATAATCTCTTAACCGAATTATACTTCCCCTTGAAGCATTTCCTATTCTGAGAAAAAACTTTGGTGGAATATGGGGGTGGGATCATGTTGGATTATTCCATTCATTTAACCTTTTAAAAAGAAACGAGGCCTGAACAAATTTATATTGCAGAGTAAATTCAGAGAGTTAATTATAGCCATAATTTGTTTTGTAGAAATGATTCTGAGTGGCTGCTGAGGTCATTCTCAAGGGTGTTGCCATGGGGACAGGCACAGGTACATTTCCAAGGCAATGTATGTGTAACAAGTGTCTGGCAGTAGCTCCCTCCTGATGTCAGGGAAAAAAAGCTCCCATGGTACGTGGGGCTAATTAAGTCTCCAGGAGACAAGTCATGTTGAAGAGTGTGTTAAAAAAGAGGTTTAGCTGGTTAACCTTCCCCTACTCCTATCCCCCCATGAGAATTTAATGACTTTTTATTGCACTGAGACATTTAATAATTGATCATTTGATTTTTAAAAAACTCCCAAACTCAATATTCTTCCATGTGAGTTTGCCCAGTTGATTATAGCTCCTCACTCTCAGTGGTCAAGGCCCACAGCTGCCTTTGTTCACCGTTGTATTGCCAACACTTAGCCAGGAGCCTGGGACGCAGCAGTTGCTCAACACATGACCCAAATTAAAATTACTTTATGGTAAATGGGTAGCTGTTAGAAAGGCAGGTTTTACTTTTTAGGAAAAAACATAGGAGTAGGAAGGTCATTAGCTACCCATCTTTACATAATTACCTCTCTGGGCTATCACTGGCTTGGATTATGTAATAACTAAATTTCTGAATTAAAATGCCTCTGACAAATTTAAGGATGACAGAGAAAGGAAAGGCATTGTTCGTTTAACTTCATTTAGTAGATTTGCTTCCTGCTATTCTTTAGATTATGGCCACAGAATGATATAACTTGTACCTCTATTTATATCCACCAGTTTCAAGCTCTCAGGTCTTAGAATTTGGTCTAATCCAATGTAAACCAAGGAGGTGGG